AACAACAATGCAAGCCGGTCAGAGAGAACCCCTTCTTTATTCCCCTCATGGTTCTCAATAGCCTCTTTTTGTGGCATTACATTGTCCTCCACAATGTAAGCACGCTAACGGCTGTAATATGCGGTCTGACATTTATTAACTACAGACGTCATTTACTTGTTTTCAAAATAATGTGTTCCATAATCAACACAAACATATTGCATTACAGTGAATAGATTCAACACTTGAAACTGCTCAATTATCAACATGCAATCAGACTTGACACGAACCGACCAATCACATCACACACACTGCAAATTAGACGGTCATCATTTTTGTGTTTGCAAGAACGTCATTATGGGCTCCAGATAACGGGTCCTCCCACTCCCGCTCAAAATTTGGTTTGTGTTGTGAACATTTTACACCAGCTGAGTCTACACCTACAAATTACCATCACCTGCAGCTGTCCTCCTCTTTATGCTGTATTGAACCAAGAATTACAGTGACGTGTTTGCATGCAAGTCAGAGGTCTGGCAGACATCATGTTGAGCACAGCTCCTCGACGTACTGATTCATTTTCCCACAGTTACTGACTTTATCAGACACCCTGTGGTTTCTCACTCCAACCCAATATTAGCACTGTCACCTTGCTTTGACTTAGGTTTTTATTTTGAGAGGTTCACACCTGACACACACTCAATATTTGACTCCTTTTTTTTTGTAAATAGGAAGAAGGAACTGCTGTCAAGGGAAGACATTCAATTGCAATGGCGACCGCTCTATGATCTGTACGAGAGGGTCGTCTACTCCAAGACTGAGCACCTCGGACTCGTCTGGTTCCCCAAGTATGTTTTACATTTACTTGTACTTTTTAAATATCTGTGTAGTTCTTGACAGTTTCAATGGTTCAATACCCCCTTTTGGGATTTATTAACATTTTTTTTTAGTTCAAATCATATCTGTAATATGAGAAGTTGGACATTTTGAAATGTTCTAAAATGAGACAAATGCAAGCAGCTAACTAACTTAACTTAGCCATAGACAGGGAACAGGCTTTCCTCGCCTGGCTCTTTGACCCTTTGGTGTCCTTTACTGTAATGAGATAAGAGAGAGGAGCCCTTTTGGGTAAAGTGACTGTGCCAAAAGTGGTTTACTGATGGCAAGACAGTGAAGACACATGACCTTTTCAGGGAGATTTTTCACTTACCTCTGTGCCCTGTGGAAGGCTGCCATGTTGTAAACAACCTGCAACTGTGAGAACGGGATTCAGAAAGCGATAGACAGATAGATAGATAGTAGACATTCCTTCCATAATGATTTTTAATGAATTATTTCTAAATACAAAGTACAAAATGGGTTTGTCTGGCCCACTGAAGTTTTGATAGATCAGTTTTAGCCTGGATGGATGGCTAATACAGGATTGTTTTCTGTGTTGAAGTTGCAGCTTAGTCTGAGTGTTTGTCGACACTCTAGCCCTTTTTTACATTGCAAGTCAAAAGCACCATAACACTTAAGGCTGGGCAATATATCAAGATGCATCCATAGATTTTCGAACGAGGTATAGGCTAAGACAGCGACATGAAGTCGCTGAAGTTTGTTGGGTTGAAAATCGTTCAACAGTTCACCCGTTTCTCCTCTCACTGTCTGTCCTTCTTCACTCTGCCCCGCCTCTCTCCCTCTCTGAACAAAACTCAAAAACCATCTGCATGATAACAAAAACAGCTGTGTGTATTCTTTTATGCAGGAAAGGTACATTTTGTATTTAATTTAAGGAACATTTTTAATACAATGTTATTATTCTTTATCTCACAAATGGGTAGTTTATTTAGTCATTTTTATCTACACATGGCTGTTAATAAAAGGGCCTGTGTGATATTTGGCATTTTACCCATATGGATTTGACTTTGATTTAAAATATCTGTACTGAAAAAAATATTGAGATATATATATTTTTTGGTCTATATCGCCCAGCCCAGCTAACACAGACAAAATTTTAAATGTGGAGTCAGTAGAAATGTTTCCTGCAGCTCATAAAAACAACATCCCCCCTCCTCCTGGGCTCATCACACCCGGAAGAACACTCACTGCAGGACTTTAACCTGCACATTAACTGCTTTTACCTACACTGGAAACTAGCCAAGAATATTACATTTACTTTGACAGGAAAAGCCGATAATTTATCACGCTAGCACAAGCTAACTGCTGGTGTTTGGCACCAGCCTGTCCAACAGAAAGCAGACCACCTCCATGTCCACGGTTGAGAGCCAATTGAAGGTTCACCCTCGTGTCAGAATGAGCTTTATGCACTTGGCGTTTCGCCTCGCTATGACTATATTTTCTTTTCCTTGCTGCTACGGCGTCTTTCATATTTGTCAGTTTGAAGCGCTTCCAATCGCTGGATTGTATCCACTCCAAACTCACCTGTGCGATGTCATTGGCTGGAGGATAGACATCAGCTCCCCCCACCCAGAAACGCCTCGAGTCAACCAAAACAACATGGACTATCAAAATCCAGGCAGAGGACTGAGTCTCTGCAGACACAATCACCACATAAGTGATGATTGAGCAGCATTACTGTTGCATAAGTCTGGATTGATTTCTTAGGAAAAATAATGAAATGATTTGTAAATGTAGTGAGTTTTTTATGGATGGTAAACTAACTTTGATAGTCTTGATTACATTTTTAAACCATGAGGGTTTTATTAGCGATCATTTTCCCAGAGCACAAGAAAGCTGTTGTGTGTGATGTTATCCCAAAGTCTGTGGGCCAAGAAGGCCAACCAGTCTCCTTTTCCTTCTCCTTTTTTGTAATCACTCTGTTTTTTGTCTCTCGGTTTTTAGGACTGTTGGTGCTACACGCCTCGCTATTTTAAAACGTTACCTTGGGCTCTGAACATTTCAGTTGGCACTTTTTTTCTTACCTTTATATTGACTCAAAGAGTTATCTCAAATTTTAAGCAAACAATAGATTAATGGAGACAATAATTACACTTTGCAGCCTGTTTTTTTGTTTATTACTGAAGCATCTCACAAAATGCTTAAAGTATAATCCATTTTCCAGCTCTCACACACCTCGTGTCTGTGCTTGTTTGCAGCTCAGTGGACCACATTCTGAAGGCTTTGATCAAAAGCTGCAGACTGTAAGTCTCATCCTCTGTGATCATGCCATTTATGTGCTGGATAATGTATTGCTTTGATCTTCAGTTGTGTACAGTAGATCTGTGTGTGTATTTGTATATCCAGCTTGTCTTTATCTCTTTGTCCTGTGTGTGTGTGTGTGTCTGAATTTCCCAGGTATTTCCCGGTGTCATCCACCCAGGAGATGCTGGATGAGTGGCGCCCCCTGTTGTGTGTGTTTGACGTGGCCATGCAGAAGGCCATCAGCAACATGGAGCTCTTCCTGCCCACCATCATGCCCCCACAGGAGCACGGCCAGGGCTTCCAGTAAGTGACTGAGGCGGCTCTGTTCAGAAATTAGATTAAACGGCAAACGCAGCTATACTCAGCCAGAGCAAACATCAAGGGTTTCTAAAGTTTTAGGAAGAGAACTCTGTTTATTTACAGAACAATCAGGGCCAGCAGCAAAAGGTTAAACGTGTTGCGTTTTTTTAGTCATGTTTGGTTCTGTGATGGAAACGTAACCTTCAGTGTGTCTTTAAATCATGTATTTTTCTTAACGTCATTTGTTGCTTTAAGGGTGTACGTAATGAAGAACCTCATGTTTGTGCTCTGTGTTCATTAAAACCTCCTTAAAATCAAATCCACTACAGCCTGTTAGCGATGAAATTCAGGGTTCATGTGCATAAAAGTAGACATCAGAAAAGAGTTTGACATTAGTTTGAATCTAAACAGGAATGATTCTTATTTAAGTTTCTGAAAACTGACCTGTATCGTAATAATAAAGTATTCCTGCAAGCCATTTACAACAGGCCAAGCTCTGCATTATTTAATACAAATCATTCCCACCATTTTTCTCCTATTTTTTGAAGTTGTACTTTTGAAGTTGGTTGTAGAACTTTGTCTTTTTATTTTATTTTTTGCCTCCTTGCTGCCAGTCTGAAGGCGTCACCACATTCATTAGTCTCAATGAATAATGTGTTTCTTGCGTGAGCACTGCTCGCACTCGTCTTATTTTGTTCATATTTCGTTTCCTTGGAAAACCATTGCTCCTTTTCTTTCTCACCCTCCATGGTTTGCTTCCAGCTTTAGAGCCTCTTCACAGCATTAACGACATTCTTAAGTGTGTTCTCTGTCTCAGGAGTGATTTGTCTGGATTAAGTCCTGGAATTATCTGCAGTTTCCGCAAAGTTTCCATAATACATCATCTTTAATACTCTCTTTTTTCCCTTCAAATTTTTCCATGGGATCCACATGGGGGTGGGGGGGGGGGTTTCATAATTTTTAGGAATTGTAGATCGGTAAGAGGACATTAGCTTCAGATGTGTGATTGCGTCATGAGTGTCAGTATCACTGTGTGTTTGTGTGTTTTCAGGCTGTGGTTTGATGAGCTGATGAGTCTTTGGACATCAGTGCAGAATCAGCCAAGCTGGGAAGGGGTAGGAGACACACACACACACACACACACACACACACGCAAACACACACACAGTTGCACAATCCTTAACAGTTTCCTTTTTTTAAGTATCTGAAGTATAATCCTATCCAAATTTACCGTGGTAGATGGAAATTACAATTGACAATAGCCCCCCATCAACCCCCCATATCAAGACCAGTAACAAAAAAAGAGGCCAAAGGAAAAGTAACAAGCACAAAATGTCTAGTTCTTTAATTCCTGCTTTGTTAACATTTCACTGCCTCAAATGTCTTAATTCAATTCAAAATAAAGTTGAAATTGCTGACCACTCCCCTTTTTTTAAATCAACACACAAATCTGCCAAAACAACCACAAATCATTGAGCAATACAGCACTGAGCTTCTCAGTTTTCTCAGAATCAACAGACACTTTCCTTCACTTCCTGTTGATTGAAACATTTGAATCTTGTACATTTTGGCAGTTTCCACTCGGCATGCAGATACAACTTTCCATTTTTTGCCTTTCTTCTGCTTTCTTTCAACTTTAAAGACTGATTTGACCTGGCTCTGCTCTCTTCTCTTGGACTTTAAGATTTGTTATATTTTCTGTAATTCCTGTTATAGCAACCTTCACTTCTGGGAATGTTCTCTGTATTCCAATGTTTGTCTGGTGTTTTTCCGCAGCACCTAGTGAACCTGTTGGCTCGCCTCGCCAACGATAACATCGGATACGTGGACTGGACACCTTATATTCCCACAGTGAGTCATTAGCAGAATTATGGGGATGCATTAGTGTGTCTGTTAATGTCTTTAATGGAACACTGCTGGCCTGTGTGTGTATGTGAGGTAAAACTGTACAATAACTGTGTGTGTGCAGATCTTCACAAGGATCCTGCGCAGTTTCAATCTTCCAGTTGGGGTCAGTCAGATGGTCGCACCGAGGTATCTGACCAACTCCTATGACACCGGGCACTTGGTGTTGTGGATCACAGCACTTCTGGTACACATTTTGGATACTGTGTCCTCTTAAGTTAAACTTTAGAGAAATATGCTTTTATTTCTGTTTGGCTAAGGTTTTGACCTTGTTTGTTTTCCCTGCAGGGTGGACCAGGAAACCCTGCGCAGAAGGAGCTGACCTGCCTCTTCAACAGCATCGCCTCCTTCTACCATCCTTCCAATCATGGTCGCTGGCAGGTACACATGCACACACACACACACATATACGCACACACACTTGCACACACCCTGAGCCCACTGCAAACACATTTTCAGCTGCTTCTTGTCACACTCGTGTGATTTATGACCTGTCATTCAGCACTCTGCAGGCTCTCCTCGTGCTAACAGCGCTATAATGAAGTGCACAACTGCTGAAGAAAAGAGCGATATCACAGATCTGTTTACTGCACACTGTGTGAAGCTGTCTCTGGACGATAACGCTGATGTTTAATGTGTGTGCGTGTTTTGCGTGTGCAGGCCCGACTGATGAGGTTGCTTCAGCGTCTCCCAGCGAGCGTCGTGCGCCGCGTGCATCGGGAGCGCAATGCTGACCCCAGCTGGATCACGCTGGTTCCTGAGAGCCAGAGGCTGACTGATGAGGACTTGCAGGACTTCACCCGCAGTTTGATTGGGGCCGCCCTGCTGGCCATGTTCAGGTACTGCAATATGGTAGTTATTGGCACATAAAATAACAACCTCAGCTTTGTGTATACAATCGAAGAAAAAGGATATTTATAGTGAGCATGCTGTAATAACAGATGAAAAAACACCTGCTCACTATAAATTATACCAATAGATCAATACTTTGACATAAAATATTGATTTGGAAATATAATTATTGATTTAAAACGGATATATTTATTTGCTAAAAAAGATCAATTTGAATCTACAGATAGACACAGATCCACAGCAACAATTAACTCTAGCCTTTATAAAAGGAGCTAAACCAGCTTTCATTACATACATTCAATAGAAATATTTTACTGTCGTTGAAGTGAGACAAGATGAACAGATCTGCATTAATCGGTGAGGCACCTAATGAGTTTTTTTCTGTCTCGTTGAAAATCCCTTTTCCATTCGCCAGTCTTTACTGAATCCCATGAATCCATCTATACATACATACTGTACATTATAAACAATATACTTGCACTTAATTATATGTCTGTGTCTCTTACATCTGATCTCGAACAGCTTGATCTCTACAAATACAACAAAGTAACTGAGCACCACTCAGGGAGTGTTTTATTTATAGAGCACTTTTTAAGCATGATGTACAAAGTGTTCAGATGAAAGACAGAGAAACATGAACATAGAACAAGTTGTTATTCCCTGTGATGAATACTTTATAGCTGGAAAAGTCAAAGCACCATAACATTGAACAAAAGAGGGAGATAAAGAGATGTCCAAACAAAGATACATTTACAATACAACAGTTTTTATGCGAGCAGCTCGATGACATTTCAAACAAAGACCGTGTGTAGGAAGGCCGAAAGAAACTATTTCCACTCAGGCAGAATTAGAAACCATAGGTGTGATAGTGGGAGAAGGTGTTAGCGTTGTTTTACACAGTCAGAGCCAATCAGTGTTCCTGTTAATCAGTTTTAATGACCAAAAACAAACTTGTATCTTTTGGGCTGGATTTTAGTTCACAAATAGATTCTGACCACAGATTTGTTTTTCCAACACAAAGTAATGTGTTTTATCAGTAGTGATAAAAACAGTTCTTCTTTTCAGCTAAATATCACAGCTTACCCTGTGGCTGAAAGAGGAAGTTTGGGCGTTATTTAGGTTACATTATGTAACAGCATTTTAACGGTACTACTTCAGTGCATTGTTTGGAGGGGCTTTTATAAAGAATGCAGCCTTTGAGATGAAGTTACAGCCATGTTTTTGCAAGAAAATCCTGGAGGAAATTCTAGTGCCAGATTGGTCATCATAAAAAAAAAAATACAAAGCGAAATTGACAGAATAAAAATAAGATCAGCACAACATTGATTATAAGTGACAAAGAAATGAATGCATAACCTTTTTACAGGCAAATTCAGCACCTAAAATTCATCCTACCATGGACTAGTTAAACATGGTCTGACCTACAATTCCCCCTCTCATTGTTTACTGGATAGTTACCATGACATTTGAATCAGTGCCAGGCAGTTATATAACAAGTTCAAACCCTCCTGTGTCTTACTAGTTAGATCAGTCTCTGACCTGGAGATGGAGGCCTCAGCAACAGCAATCCTAATCTGGACAAAGACCGGTCACCTGGGTTGTTCTGCCTGTGTGTGTGTGTGGGTGTGTGTTGTTTTTGTTGATGACGCGGTGATGTATGTTTTTGAGTGTTTAATTCCATCCTCTGATGATTTTCAGTAAAACCGGGAGCACAGACGCAGCCTACGCTCTGCAGAACCTCGCTCTCCTCACACCGGAACTCGTTATCCCACCTGTACTTGAGAAGTAAGACTTTATAAGATAATGTTTTAATGTAAAAAAAAAAAAAAGTTGTCTTATACATCTTTTCTAACTTTTTATCTGGGAGACATTCTTGCTTTATGTTTCTGGTTAGTTCGGGGTTAGGTAGCTATGGGCTAAAACTCGAGCACAGTTGTTTTAAATCCTATATTTTTTTTATATTTTGACAATTTAGTATCATTAATGGTATGCTAACTTAGCTTTTTGCGGTGCATGTTTGTGATGTATCCATGAAATGTTTGTATGTTTCACTGGATTAACTCAACTCAACTTTATATATACAGTATATAGAATCTGCCATGAACAGGAAACACTAAGAAATTCAAATTGCACAAACCAAAGCAACACTGAAAAAGAATAAGAACAGTAACCAAGAACAATTTTTCTATTTATTTTAGCATGAATTTTTAATGGTTTATTAACACTGAACACAGAAAGGTGACACATTTATTAAAAAGTAAGTAACGATATATACAATCATTTGTGTGTGGTCAGATTTGACTAGGTAAGGACTAATAAAGGGAGTGCAAAGGTAGGTGAAATTTGCATCAATAAGGTGACAAGAGTTTATAGTGTGACACACATAACCTGCAAATGCTACACAAACTGGCAAACGATTAACATTTTTTAATCGCGATTAATCACAAACTTCCAATAGTTTACTGTGATTAATCACATTTTTAATCCCATGTTTAAAATTTGATTATTTGCTTTAAAAAAAAAAAAAAATCTATGTTTTTTATTTTGAATTTTTGTACTTTCTTAAGCTGAAACTAATTTACTAACTGTTCCAATTTAACCCTGCTTTTATTTTGAAATAAAAAAAGGACCTTCTGGTAGATCGAAGGTTAGGACATTAACTTAGAAATGTATAACCGTAGAAAAAGAAAGTCATTACAGGTCAAAAACTAAATGAAAACAGCTCAAAGGAATGGTTGAAAAGTGAAATGTGTGATGTCATAAGGTGGATATTATATTTGACTCGTCAGCTGAGCTTTTGGAGTTTTCTTTAAGTGAAATGAGACATTCCAGGATGCAGCAGTGTCGTTCTTTACCGTCACTGTGACTACAGTGAGTCTCTGTGGAGGCTTACCCACAGTGCGCCCAAATGGAAAAATTAGCATGTGGTTAATCACGATAAAAATCAAAAACATAAATTGTAACGAACTAGTTAATTCTGACAGGGTTAGCTAATTATTTACCTCCTCGTATGTTCTGAAAACCAGGATGTACGCAGCGATGGAGACCCTGACGGAGCCGCACACCCTAACAGCCACGCTCAGCTGCATGATCGGCATGGCTCGGAGCCTGGTTTCCCCTAACAACCGTTACCCAGAGGGCCGTGCACACGTGCTCCCATTGCTCATGGGCTCTCTGCCAGGGGTTGACCCAAACGACTTCAGCAAGTGCATGGTGAGTAATGGATGTGTTGATTAGTAATGAAGAAGAATTGTCAGACAAGTAGACAATTCAGCTCTTGCTGATTAAATTCCCTCTCAGCGTACTCGGGTCTATCCTATTTATAATTCCTGAAAGTGGAATGAATATCTCAGTTTCAAGAAGTCGTAATTACCCGGTCCCAGCCCTCACTTTCTGCTTGGATTGTAAAATGGATTGGTTTTATTCCTCTGAGTGCTCATTGTCTCCTGACTAAATTCATCCATCAGCTCAGAATGAATGAATACATTTGAAGAGATCAGTCCTTCGACATGTGGTCGATTATTTGACTTAAGGCCCCGATCATGTCAGATGATGTAAATTAATCCGTTTCTCGTTGTATCGCCCTTTTTTTTCAGATAACTTTCCAATTCATCGCCACTTTCACCACCCTGGTGCCTTTAGTGGACTGTTCGTCTGCTCCTTCCCGATACAGTGAACTCACAGAGGTACGCACGAAACATGCATCGGCATTTCAGTCATGACAGAGGAATAAACACAATAAGTACAGATCAACATGTTCAAATCCTGTGCCATTAGCTTAGCGTAGCACAAAAAGTACAAACTGAGAGAAACAGCTAGCTTGACTCTGAAGATAGCCGAATCCACTGACTAGCTCCTTAAACGCTTACTAATTCACATGTTATCGCTTCTTTGTCCTGCATATACAAAATTGAAAGAAATTTAAAGTGATAAATTGTGGGTTAACCTGAGATTACTGGAGTGTTGTCCTCACAGTGATGGTGCTTAATCAGAATCAGAATCGGTTTTTATTGCCAAGTACACATACAAGGAATTTGACTTGGTGTATTGGTGCAAAAACAGTTAACAAATGAAATAAAGCGAAAATAGCAAGAACTTAAATAATAAAATATGGAAGCAATTACAGTATATAATATGCAATTTAAAAATGTAAAAATATAAGAAACACAAAATGTACAACATTTTCAATGGAGGATCTGTGCAGTTTGACAATGAAACAAATCTTACAGTGGACTGAACTGTAACTAGTCTGACATCTCCGTAGAGATGGATACCTCCCTGTCTGTGTGTTAAATATGCAGCCATAACAACTGGAAACAGAGGACAACAGTTTGACTCGTCTCTCACTAACAATTCTCTACTAGCTTCTCAAAAGTTTACTAATCAGCAAATGGTATCTTATTTTCTAATTTAAAAATGATGAAATATAAAAAAGTCAAGCTGTTGATTTATATGAGTCTTGTTATCAATAACATTTTCATTGCCTTACTAGCAGGAGACCATTAGCCCAGCACATACTGTAACCAAAATATTGCAAATTACCATTGCTAAATATCTGATTTTGTACTTTATACAAACCAGACTTATGTTGTCTTCAAGGGATCTCTGTAGGTTGATTGTCTAACCTCTGAAAAGCAGTTTTTAAAGTGAAGCTAACTATCCCTATGACTGCTTTACATGCAGCACACAAACATGAGTTTTATAAATCTCCTCTCTCCACTTGGCAAAAGAATAATTGACTGTTTCTTTGTCCCTTGACCCCCTTCTTCTAATGATTTTGGGTCAAATAAATAAATGTTTAATATTACATAAATATATTAAAATATATCAAACATGTGTTGTCATAAAGCACTCTCATGTTACATAAAAACACTAACCCATCATTTCCATTTCTCCCTGTTAGACTGAAAAAGATCTGTGTTTTGCTTCGGCTGAGTTTGAAGACTTCGTTCTCCAGTTTCTGGACAGGTAGAGACAAATAAATTAGTAAAACTGTCACTGTGTAAAGCCTTGTTGTCAGTGTTTGAGTATGAATGTATCTCCTTCTGTTTGAAATGCACCCGTGTGCATCACTGGCTCTGCTGGCCATGTAAAACAGCCTTCCTCTGGGTTTTTTTTCACCGTAATGTTGTTTGTTGACATTTTCATCGCTGTCAAGTGTATAACTGTTTTTCTGTGTGTGTGTGTGCTTGTGCAGGTGTTTTGCTCTGATAGACAGCAGTACTCTGGAACAGACGAGGGACGAGATGGAGACAGATACACAGACTCATCTGGAGAGTCTGGTGGAGCTTGGCCTTTCGTCTACTGTTAGCACCATCCTCACACAATGCTCCAAACAGATATACAAGGTAGTGCTACACACACACACACACACACACACACACAAAAGGTCTATCTTTGAATTAAAGTTAATGTAATCTAAAGGCCCTAAAGATACCTTTTTAAACAGTTTCTAATTTCCAGTACTATAAAACAGAACTGATTCTGTGAGATTGTTGTAATGTTTTTATTAATCTTCAATGTTGTATCATTGCAACTTTGAAGGTTCAAACTTTAAAGGTCCCATATTATGCTTTTTCTGGTTTTATATGCCCTTTAGTGTGTTTTCCAAGTGTCCTGTGCATGTTTAGGCACATCTATGTGCAAAAATTCAAAGTCCGCGGAAACACGGCTTCTCCTACGTCCTCCTGTTAGCTGTAGCATTAGCCGCATGTAACGCTCGGTTCTAGCCCCCCTCGATAAAAAATTGTCAGTGCGGCGTCATTGTCAGTGTGAGATCACTGATCTAAGCCCATTGGCTCGTTGTGGCAAGCCCAGCAGCTCATGTTGAAATTTCCGAGACGCGTGCTGAGCAACTGACCAATAACGACAGAGCGGATTGGCAGACCAATAAGAGCAGACTTGGCCCACGTGGGGTCTAACAGTGTGGGCTCAACAGAGCGTAGCTGACGGACTCAGAGCGTAGAGGGAGCAAGGAGGAGCAGTACATGAAAACAGACACTTTTTTCGGACTTTATCTATTGTGAACGTACAAAAGTAGGAACATAGATTAAATATACAAACCCCAAAAAGGACATAATATGGGCTCTTTACAGTTTAACATAAGCATCATCTGATCTTTCCAAACAATGTCTTTGTGTCAGATGGCGTTGCAGAAGGTGTATAACTTTGCCACCTGCAACGTCTTTGAGACGTGTGTGTCGGGCAGGATGGTGGCTGACATGTGCAGAGCTGCGGCAAAGGTACATGTGCACAAAATAGTCAATCAGTTTTCTTTGCTTTAAATGACATGTCGTATTGTCGTCACGGCTTCATTTTCTGCCTGTTATCTTCTTCACCTCTCGTGTGTGGCTTGTTTCATTTTGCTCATGTTTTCGGTGGCGTCACTTTCTGCTTGCTCGGACTTCCACTCGTGTATCTAAAATGCGTGTGCTTGTTTGTGTGTGTCTGTTTGCAGTGTCATCCTGCCGAGTCTCTCCGTCTGTTCGTCCCTCACTGCTGCAGCGTCATTTTCCACATAACAGACAGTCAGTACCATGCTGTGTGTGTGTGTGTGTGTGTGTGTGTAGAACAGTGTAGTGTAAGTGCACATGTGTGTAAAGTAGATTCTGTACTGTGTTTTCATGAAGGCGGCACAAAATCTCTCGTGGTGACTCTGAAGTCTTGCAGCTGTGTTGTAGTTTGTTTGTTTGTTGCCGTTTTACCTCTGGCGCTTTTGCGTTTATGATTATTTCATGATGATTTCACTTCTGTTTGCCATCAACCTTGTTGTGTGCAAGAATCTTAAATCCAACGGACAAATCACATTTGCTGTCTGTCCAGTGAGGCAAGGTGATGCTAACTTTCTGGCTGCCAAAGCAGATTCTTAATGTAACAAAATAAGTGCCAGATTTAAAGAAAATTTACCTTTCATTAAATTACATTACAACATGAAGCGTAGGAACTACTATGGGAGCTCTAAGCAGACTTGCATCTACACATTTCATCTACTCTGTTTTCCAAAAAAAAACGAGTTACAACATCACAAAAGAAGAAAAAAAAACGTAACCCACCTCATTAGTGTGGGCAATGGCAGCATGGCATGTCATAGTCTGTCTGGCCCATCGCAGTGACCACACCATTGTTTCGTCTTGTTTTTCCAGGCTGCAGGAAATTATCCCACTATGACAAGAAATCCGGGTTGTTATCTTGAGAGAAGATAAATTATTCCATGATAATCAGAAAACTAGCTTTTATATCGTAATATTGATAGAAATAACAACCAAGTAAACAACAAAAAAATGACTCATCACAGGAAAACCAGCATTTCTATCTCAAGATGATAAGATAAGTGAATCGAGGATATTGAGAAAACGACTTGTTGTTACTTTTAATCACAGGAAGAAACATCGTAAACAAAGTGTATGGATGCATGTCCCCTTAGGGCTTCCGTAGGCACCAGTCCTGTTTGCTACTTCCTGAGGCTGCCGTACTTGGCTACATGTGTTTTCAGCTAAAAGCTAACTTTTGCATGATTATATGCTTGCTACTTCAATGCCAATGAGCATGCCATTTTTCAGGTTATAGTCGTATAGATTTAATTTGAACTGTTGTAGGCTGCTAGCTCTTTTAAAAAAACCTGAAATGACCTCAGATTTCAGCTGTAAGAGCTCATTCTGTCAGGGGAGCAATACAGTACATTACTCAGCTTCTTCATACAGTTCGTGTGTGTGTGCTTGTGTGCTTGTTTGTGTCTGTGTGTGTATGTGTGTGTGTGTGTGTGTACAGATGAGGAGCTGCGGAGTGAGGACGAGCTGGATAAGGAGCTGCTGTGGAACCTCCAGCTGCTCTCTGAGGTGAGAGGAGGATCCATCACATCCGGAGTTTTTCAACACTGAAAGAAAATCAGAATTCTCCTCGTGCGTTTCATATCGTTCTCGCCTTTAAAATGTTATCTAATCTCAAATTGATTGAAAAGACTGGCACTAGGTTGGGGAAATTCACTTGGTCCCTTTTACGGATCAATTTGCTCTGAGAATTATTTGAAGTCAGGCGTCATTGCCTCATCACCACTGAAGGGATTTATCGACTATTACACTTCAAATGTGTCTCTATGACGCTCCAGGATCAAATAAAAACACCTAGCATGCGAGGACCAGAGGGAGAGATTCACCCGTTTGGAAAAATTAGAATATAAAAGCAACACTGAATGAGGAAAAAGTGATGACTGAAGTGACATTTTTTGCAGTGTTAACCCTGTTGGGTCATAAATATCAAAGAGCTTTGTCGTTAACCAGAACATATTGATACCCTCTCTCTTTTGTTTTATTACTCCTGGGAGCTTAATGCGAGTGGGAGCGAGCCAGATGCTGTGATTTACAGGAGAAACTCAATATTTAAGACAGAACCCTCCACTAAACTGCTTGTGTATGTGTGTCTGCATGTTCTCGTGCTTGTGTGTGTGTGTGTGTGTGTGTGTGTGTGTTTGTGTGTTGTTTTTAGATAACCCGTGTGGATGGTGAACAGCTGTTGAAATACCAAGGGGACCTGGAGCGGATCCTGTGTGTGTGCGTGCGTCTGCGCTGTAAAAGAGCGTACACACTCGCCTGCAATCTGCTGGAGCACACGCTCCGCTCGCTGTCCCTCATATATCCAACCGAGTACCGCAGCACCCCTGGAGGATTCAATACTGACCTCCCTATACGGGTAAACACACACTCAAAAACACGCCTTTTTTTAATGCTATGCAACATGGAGGAAGAAAGCAAGTGTTGAAAATCAATCTGATAAACTACAGTTGAACCATGTTTCTTGACTCTTCTTTAAAAAGTCTTTATAAAATTGAACTGTCAATTCTTTTAAATATATCATTGTTGCTGTGTAAAACGTATTGACACAGTGCGTCACTTTTATTAAGCTGTTTTAAAAATGTATTTGATGTTAAACTGTTTTTATTTCTAAAATTATTTCAACATTTCAGATTATATTTATAGGTTTAACTCCTGCCATCATAAACATTTTTTAAAATCTTTTTCTTGCACATCTGAATATTGACAATAAAGCTTCGTATTCAAAGTGACGTCAGCCACAAATTGGGAATTTATGCTATCATATCGGTTCTCTAGAGCCAGTTGTGACCATACAAATGATTATTTTTTGCAGAGGGTCGGACTGGAGAGGAACAAGGAGTTCGCAAATGCTGCGATCACTGCGAGCTGCATTTGTAATTCACTATGATCGATATTGGAATGCTAATTATGGCTATCTAGGCTTTACTCTTAATGTGCAGGCTGGAAAAATAAACAGACGAATCTTTATCGTTTCTTTACATCAAAATGAACCCTGAACATTGTAATTCGGGATTTTGTGAGAGCGACTTGTCAACCGTGAATAAGCCATGCTTGAAGGTACACCATGTTTTATCAGCAATTAAACTCCAAATGGAACCATGAGTTTAAAATCAATGTCATATACCGACATATAAAGCTCTGATTGCTTACTTATAGCGTAAGAGAAGCAGATAGAGTGAAGGGTTAAGAAGTCAGCTCAGTGACTCAGTAAAGTCTGTTACACTGTTTGCTAACATTGGCTAGCGTTAGCTTCTGGTCACTCCAAACCATTAAGGTGGTAGCTGTAAATGTTCTTGCTTATAAGATAAACTCTTAGTTTGTATTTAATGGATTTGCCAAAATCTTCGTTCATTAAATTTGAATAATGTTCCTGTAGAGCTGCTGGATGCAAGTTTGAGGTTTATTTCTTCTTTTTTTCTGTCTTGCTTTGTGCCAGCGGGAGACGAACTGATCTACTGTGTTTACCCTGAGAGAAAAGCTTCTCGGGTTTTTTCCAAAACCTTGAAATTGTTTTGAGTGCAGGAGAAGTGTGTTTGGGTTTTTACGTAGGTAGTTGCAATTATACCTTCATTACTCTGCAGAATTTAAATTATTCCCTTTTTTTAATCTGCAGTTCATGGTCTCTGAGTCTGTGTTTTGTTTTGTTTTGTTTGGATTTGATTTTCTTTGAATTTCTCTCTCGTTGAGTTTCATCCGTCACACCAAAGTAGACTTGTTGGGTAATTTGTTCTGAATGTCTTTTTTTTGACTGTCCTTGTCCTCAACAATAAATTAAATCCCACACGTTGGGACAGGATTGTAATTATGAGGCATAAAGTACTGGTTGTGCTGGTGTTCTTGCCAGCTGTTCCAGTGGGGAAAAAAAAACCTCTCCCTCTCTCTCTCTCTCTCCTTCTCCAGGACTGGGGCAGAGCTGGAGATGTGGCAGCATTGGGTGTGTGTTGGCACGTGCCCAGTCAGGAGGAGGAGAACTTTGTTTTCCAGCTGCTGTCCCGCCTCCTGCACCCGGAGCTGCAGCGAATCAAGAGCCACATCTCTGGAGATCAGCCAATGAGCAGGTGTGCTGCTGTTCCTTCGCTTCGTTTTCCTCTTTTAAACACAGTTAGGCACAGATACAAACAAAACAAAGAAACCTATAGCCTTTCAGTAATGATGAATGAGATTAATTTGCGTCCAAATTAAAGTTTAACATCTGTTTTAAATATTTGTAGACCTTTTGTTGAAACCCTAACCTGGGACAGAAGTGGGGGAAAAGTTATTAGTCACTCAAGTCCAGGCGGGTTTATTTATGTTGCGTGATTTTAACACAAAGGCATTTAAATGTGCTTAACATAGGCAAGGAAATGACAAATCTGTAGAGCAAGAAAAGAAAAAGAAAGCAATAATCAGAAGAATCAGGGTTTATTACCAAGTAGGTAATCAAAGGGATTTGTCTTATTGTTGCATTATAGTAAACATACAAATAAGAAAAACAATCCTCCTACAGTCAAGAAATGTAAAAATAGTTTAAAAAAAAAAACCCAATGTAAATAAAAGAGAATGCTGTGTAAAATAGTTGACACAATGAAACAGTGAGTGTTGGATTAAATAGTTTAAAATAAGATCAAATAAAATACAAATGTCAAATACAGCTACGGAAAGGTGCAGTTTTATTTATTTTAAGGTGCCACATGATCTACAGAGAAAATAAGGGCGCAGGAAAGAATATAATCATTCAAAGGCAAAGGAGAACAACAGAGTTTTTTTTTTTTTTACTGTAACTCAGCTTTTTACTTTTACTCTGAAAGGGTCTTGCATTGAGATGGAGATGAACTCTGTCCCACAGAGTGAGAAATTTGTCTTGAACTCTTCACCTATGCTGCAACCATACATAAAACCTCCGATATTAATTAATAAATAAGTGCGAGTTCAAAGAGTTCAATCCACGTTAAAGACACACATGCGTACAGTTACGCTACCTTGAAAAAGCTGTAACGTGTGCTGTGATTCACAGGGAGGAGCTGTTGCAGAGTCTTGCCATCGTGCAGCACTGCCTCCTCGGAGCTGGGAGCATGCTGCCCCCTCTGGATGGACCACACGTATCTGACCTGTGAGTCCTGCAGCTACACACACACACACACACACACACACACACACACACACACACTATCACACGCCTAAATGAACACACATTTTCCTGCAGGCTTGTCACGTTTTTTTCCCCGTGTACATTTTGTTTCCTCTCAGCGTGCCCTCCATGGTAAATCTGGGCGAGATCAAGCTGCACATAGGCGTTGAATACGGTAAGACAAAACCCCACAAACAAGCAGCCACGCGGCACACATGCACAAGCAGCAGCTCCCTCATCAGTTACTGTGTGCGATAAGGCCGCTCATTTTGCATTCTGTGTCCATACGGGACGTCTGCGTGTCTCCTCCCCTCCAGATGATTCACGGGAGAACTACAGAGAGTCCATCTGCCAAACCATGAGACTGCTGCTACGTGAGTGAAGACGTTAACTCCAAAACACTCCTAACTCCTCTTCTCTGTTTTCAAATGTGGAGCACAATTAATCTGTATCCACTCCTCTCCATCCAGATCACATCCTGGAGCACTCTGAGGATGACACAAAGTCGCTCTTTGTCATCATTAAGGTGTCCAGCCCTTGTGATTTTTCTATTATTCATGTCTGGGGATGTTATGATTGTATCCTGCGGTAGGCCAGCAAAAGGTCTCACAGCACCCTCTGTGTGTTTCTGTCTTGACTACAGATCATCAGTGACCTCATGTTTTTCCGCGGCACTCACAAGAAAGAGTTTGATTCGCGCTGGAAAAGCTTCACTCTGGTTAAGAAGTCGATGGAAAACAGGGTGAGTTCGAGGAAGGGTTTGTTGTCCGTTGAAATCAGTCTCTCGCAGGGTGATTTGAGTGTTTCTGCTTTTTCTTCTCGCAGCTTCTCGGGAAAAAGCAGCACATCAGAGCGCTGCTCATTGACAGGGTTCTGCTCCAACATGAGGTTAGCTCAACAACACACACACTTTTAAAAATCGAGGCTGACTTTTGTTTTCAGGGCTCTTATTTGGATAAGATGGCACCGCAGCTTTTCTGAGCCATGAATGTTTAGAAAAAGGCTTGCTGCTAGTGAAAGAGCTATTACAAAAGAATTGTTTACATCGAGTACCAACAGCATAAGCAGATTTCTTGAATTTTGATACATGAAATTGAAGTTATGGAAACTAACATTAAGTTGATACCCATGTGTTGGCTAAATGTTGGACAGGAAAGATTACCTATAAACCCATATAGAGCTGATTTTATGTAAAGAGCATCAGCTGTATTACATGTGAATTGTAAGTGTTTAGGTTACTATTTGAAGTCACTAGCCTTTCAGCAGGAATTAGCTGTACACAGGGAAATGGTCTTTGTGAAGAAGGGGAACCCATCGGCAGTCATCTTAGAAGGATTTAGCTTTAATTCATGTCTTAAGAAACGATACGCAGGAAGGGATGCGATGGGATGCGTTGCACTTTACTTACCCCTTGGGGAGGTTTCATCTTGGACCCGAGCGCTGCATACACTTAGCTGCCCCCCTCAGTAGCATCAATAAATGAAAACAATAAAAACAACAATCCACATGTAAACACAGAAGCACATACTAATTAAAACCACAAACAGTTGATCATGCACATTGCCAATAATGCCCAAGATCTCATAAATACATAAACATAAATAGGAGAAATGGATCAAAAACACCATGACCCTATTGCACAGTCCATACAGCCTGAAGAAACATTGTTTAAAAATGTGATTGAGTCAGGCACAGTGTTCAGTGTTCAGTTTGTATTGGGAGGTTATCTGCTAATAATCCTTCTTAGATAATGTTTAAATACCAACTTCATTCTTGCTTCACATTTTGCTTGTCAGACTCTAAACTATGACAAACCAAGGAAAACTAAATCTTGGCCTGGAAGTCCTTTCACATTAACCACTGCCTACACTGAAAACTTGCTCTAAGAGGCTTTATCAATGTCCGACAATAGAGAGTCGATGGGTTCTGAGATTGGTTGTATTGTAGCTCCCTTAGGCTCTTTTCTACACATGGACTCTTGGGCTTTTGATATTTGCTTATATTTTTTGTCCTTTTAGTTAATTCATTTAATCATTAATTCCATTAAAAAGATGTATTGAACAAACACTCATCTGTGACCGACACAGACACACTTTGCACAGGGTCGCAGATGTAGCTGTAACTAACGTGTGTGTTGTGTTATTCTTAGTGAGAAGTCTGCGGTTTGATAATGCTTTAAAATTGCCTTTCTGTGCGAGTAGATGAGGAAGCTGGTGGTGGACGGCAGTGAATATAAAGTGGTTCATCAGGAGCTGCTCTGTAATCTGCTGCTGCTTTCGACCAGCACTTACAGCCAGGTGAGACTGACACATCACACACAAGGAACATTAACGAGAACATTTCCATCACGGTATCAGCTGCTTCTCAGTTACCTCATGGTATTTGCATAGACGTTTTAGTCCTGTCATAGACTGATTAAAGATTTATATATACGCATCTGATCATGTATAGAATAAAATAGAATAGAATTACTTTATTGATCCCAAACTGGGAAATTGTGGATGTATGTGAATGTGTACATGTGTATGTGTATGTGAATGTGTATGTGAATGTGAATGTGTGTGTGTCCCTGTGCAGGTTCGCAGCAGGGCCCAGAGTGTGCTGATGGCCGCTATGGGAACATTAAGCTTCGCCTACAGAGACCTGATTCCCCAAATCCTCCAACTGCTCTCCCCACAACTAACAAAAGGCTCACAGCAGCAGTTTAAGGTAACACACACACACACACACACACACACACACACACACACACACACACACACACACACACACACACACACACACACACACACACACACACAGAGACAAACAGATACAAAAACCGTATGATGTAATCAGTTGTTGCCCCCGACTTTCTAGAACAGTAGCTGTCCGTGGTGCTGAAGCTTAAAAGGCTCTTTTATTTGTCGGCTGCATTAACCCAATCAGCACTTCGCACCCTTGACTTTGCATTTAATTACATTTCTGCTGCTTGTTTTTCAGTCAGGTTCGCTTTGATTGCCTATTTGATTGTCTTTTTGTTTGCGAATTAAAATATGTAATACAGACGTTAAATCATATAAAGCACACGTAACATGTTATGTTTAATTATGTGACTTTGTGAACATGTTCATGACTTTCTCTTAAATGTGTGTGAAGCACTTTTCCAACCTGAACATTAACAATTCCACGATTCAACAATTCACTTAGCGGACGATTTTATCAAAAGTGAGGTACATCTACTTTTCAACATGATTTAAGATGAAAACAGTTTCTCCCTGTTTTCTAGATTGACATTTTTACTCTCATTTGTCCTTGAAATTCAGCGATCAGGGCCACGCTTTGTGTTTTTGTTTTGTGAAGGATCAATTCATTCAGACACAGCACATGCTTGCCAATTTACCAGTGCATCTTTCTCGTGTTTGTCTTTGTTTGTGTGTTTGTGTGTTGCACAGGGCGCTCTGTACTGCCTGCTGAGTGTGCACAGTGGCATGTGTCTGGCCAGTACAAGGGACTGGGACTGTGTCGGGGCTGTGTGGCCCGCTCTGGTCCGTTGTGGCCTGTCTCCAACCATGACCCTGGACGATCCCTCCATTGGTCGACTGCTGGATGACATCATTGACAGGATCCACCGCCAGCACGACACCATCGGAATCTATTTTACTGTGAGAAAATGATCTGTAACGCTCAAGAACGCTGCCTCAGTTTGATTAACTTTAGCTTAATGCTCTCCTGTTTTTTTCTCTTTTGTCTTTTAGGTATCTGAAGGTTGTGTAGAGGTGGCCAATCGCATCGCTCAGTCCAAAAAGCCCACCCCTTGTTTAGAAGCACCGTCTGTAGAGGAGCTGAAAGAGGGCCTTCAACGCCAGCGAATCAGAAATGTGGTTACAGCAAGGTGGGAATTTAAACTGCAGTTCATTCATCCACTTTTAAAGCAGTCTTGTTTTTTTTCCTCTCAAGGTTACAGAGGAGCTCATAATATTTTCACTTTCATTGCCTTGTACTTTTAGTCGTAGAAGTTGTACTTGTGAGTAATGCTTCTTCTTCTCTAATGCAGAAAATATGAGAAGCTGGTCAATGATCTCTTGGATTGCCTTGAGGACAGCGACCTGTAAGTTTTCTAACAGCCTGTTTGTGAATTATGAGTAAATGCACTTGCTTTGTAAAAGTTTCGAGTGAATATGTTGTTTTTTTATGCTGTGTTTGAAATGCTGGTATATTCCCCCTACAGTGTCTAGGCCGTGATTCTGACCTCTTACTTTAAAAAGAATATGGTTTAAAAGAGACTCAATAGATTTCTCGAGCCAAGAATAACCACAGATGTTTAGTGAGATACCACAAGAAATTTTGTCCCAAAAACATTTCTCTGCTTGCGCTTGTTTTTTGTCTCAGGCCCTGGAAGTTTGAGCACATGGCCACAGACTTGTTGTCTCTCCAGCTGCGAGACGATCATCCTCTGCCCCACGACGCCGTCCTCTTCTTCACACAGGGCCTCATACATGACTCCATCAGTATACGCAAGGTCTGCGCCTGTGTGTGTGTGTGTGTGTGTGTGAGCTGGATCTACAATTGTTTGTGTTTAAAAGATCCAAGAGAAGACAAATACCTCAAAGTACAGCCTGTTTTACTTGACCTGTAGAAACTGCTTTTTGTAGCGATACTTTAACGCCGCACATATTTCTGTCCTGTAGGTGGCGATCTCAGCGCTGGCCGGAGTCCTGAAACAGCTGAAAAGACCAACAAAGAAAGAAGCTGTTAAACCATCAGACATCAGTGAGTTTAATCAGAAACAATACACAATATAAATACATGAAGGGACAAGTCAGTAATGTTAGCCATCTCTCAATGCAGCCATCACAGTAACAGCTGCAACTTTAGCATCGAATATGAATAACAAAATACATCCTACTTGTATTTCACAATGAAGAAATACAAAGTATAAAACTGCATTTTAATTTTCATGAAATAAAATATGTCCTATTGATTTGAGAAACTAACCAACAGTCTGCAGTCACCACAAACACAAAATCACACACAAATGACATTTCAGTCATGTGAATACCAAATGTTAGACATGTTGCAATACCATTTATCCTTCCAGATCGTTCTTTACAGACTAGATACTAAGATATCTATCCAATAACAGAAAAACAAGTCCTTCATAATGTATATTTTTATAACGTGTAGTCTCCTGGTTTGGAGCTTTTTTAATTTCAGTTTTTTTAATTTGAGTTTCAGCAACATAATCAAATGAATTCGTTTTTTCTCCTTACAGATTAATCTATGATAAGAAGATAATTACCGACGTTGAATAAAAATCAAACAAAGCAAAAACTTTGATTAAAGTACTTAAAATAAAGCAAAAACCTATACATAAGAAAAGATGAATAAACAAACATTTTATAAGAAAAGGAGAAGGGGGACGGTATGGGTTATGGAGGGGAGTTATGCACCGATGTGTGTGTAGGTGTGTAGTCGCATGAGCGTATATAAAGTATGTGCACAGAGGTGCCTTGAGTTGGAGCAGGCAAACATACAGGTAAAATTCAGAATGAGTAGGTGGAGTCAAATCACGCCGATGAATCAGTATGCTGATGGCAGGAGTCCATCTTTTAATCAGTGTTCATTGGAGTCTCATGGGGTACCATTTTATAACTTCCCAAACCTTCTCAGTCCATCTCATGGGGTCAGTTTAACCACTTATGGCTTATTGTGATACATCTTATTGCTGCTGCTGTCAATATGTGTAGGATATGTTTTTCAGCTCTTCATGTTCTCTTACTGTTTGCTCGTGTGCTCAGGTGGTTTGGAGGATCCAGAGGGTGTGTGTGTCGGGGATCGTGAGGGGAACTGCTGGCTTCAGTACGACAGCAACAACCTCCCCCTGAGTCAGGAGCAGTGGGATTCTCAGCACTTTGTGGAGAAAACACACTTGGGCTACTACACATGGCCGAGGTGAGGGGGACAGCGGAGTTGATTTAGGAAGTGGACGGCTGATTGACTGCTTGCTTGGATGGAGCTAAGTAGCTGATTGACTTAACTGCCGCGCTGATTTGATGCTTCTCTTCGCTGCTAACTTTACGTCTGACTGACTGATCTGTGACTGATCTGGGCGGGTGCATAACTAGCAGGGTGTCGAAGTGACTTCCTGTCGAGGCCTGGCCTAGATAAGGCTGACTGAACGGCTTACTGTTTGGCCTAGATAGAGGAATTGATGTGTAGGTGGAGGGCCTGCTGACTAACTGGCTTTTTAATCACTCATTTATCCTCGCTGCTTATTTGAAGCCAGTGTGTGTCTGTCTATATTTTCTCTGTTTGTTGTTATCTATAAATCACAGCCGCCTCCCCTTTGTCTCCCGCTCCTCTTTAGAGAAATGATGATCTATGCAGCTTCTGAGAAGTCAAAAGATGACCTGCAGTATGAAGAGATGAGCGAGGTGCGTGCTCACACACAAAATTCCCCTCATCTTCCGCCTCAACATTGCTATTATTACATTTAGGCATTTGTCTGTTTTGTCACTCAGGGTGAAAAGATCATCTTTGAATATTTCTCGGACCCGGAGTTTATCGACCAGCTCATGGAGTTCCTCTCTCTGGAGGATCGGAAGGGAAAAGACAGCTTCAACCCGCGACGCTTCTGCCTTTTCAAGGTGCAATTTAAACTCTCAGCCTCAATCGATCCGGCAAACCTTTTAACGAAGAAGTGACACAGCATACCGCGTCTAGCCAAGGCTGAATTGAGCAACAAAGAGGTGGAATTTGTGTCATCAACTCCTGTGATTCATTGTTTCCCATCAGGCAGCTGACAGTTACCCTGCCTCAAACGAATGACTGTAATCTGTCTTTCTGGGGTGTTAAAAAAAAAAAAGAAAAGAAAGAGAAAACGGTTCCTCTACATCCAACCAACCTCTGCGTTTGATTGACAGGGGCTGTTTCGTAACTATGGTGACGTATTCCTGCCGTTACTATGGCCTCACCTGGAGCAGCTTGCCAGCGATCCCCATGAGAGCTCGCAGCGCTGTGTGTGTGAGATTACTGCAGGACTAATCAGGGGCAGCAAACTCTGGAGTTTCAGCCAGGTACTGCACACACACACACACACACACACACACACGGATAAACACACACACACTGCAGTACTTTTTGATAAGAAAAGTCAATATTAATAAAAACTTTCATTATTGTGTGTGTGTTTGGTCAGGTGGACAGGCTGTGGAAGCTTTTGTGCCCTTTGATCAGAACAGCTTTAACCAACATCACAGTGGAGACCTACACAGACTGGGGCACCTGCATCGCCACTGCCTGCGTGAGTGTCTCGCATGCGTACAAATACTGTACACAACATGCTACATGGCGTAGTGGCTGTGGAGGAAACGTGGGATTCATCTGTGTATTGTTGGACATCAGGGTTCATTGATTTTTGTTTTAAATCAATGAAACAAACAATTGGGTGAAAATTGGATTTTGAAAACACAATCTCCGCACTAAGACTCTTCACCGTCTTTAGTTATGTGTGTCGCTAACATGACTCTCGAGCAGGGATGGGCAACTTCGTTCACAGCAAGGGGCCACGTTCATTTAATTCTCACGGCCAGAGGGCCACATTGTAGCACACAAAAAACCATCACAGTCAATTATGTCTCAAATTTAACTCAATATATACCTGTGATCAAATATTATTATGGACATATTTCTGGTTTTCATGATTTCATGGCAGATTTTCCAATTAATTGATATGTAAAAATTGACCTGGGGGCCGCATGTGGCCCCCGGGCCGCCAGTTGCCCACCCCTGCTCTAGAGACAGCACTGTCTGTCGCTCCTCCAGCTTGTCGAGGTAGAAATGTATCAAAAATGATTTTCACGAGTTGTCTTATGGACATTCAGGTCAATCTGAAGTTAAATTGTTCTCACTTTAATCCCTTCACTTTTCACCTCGCACTATAATAACTATAACAGCCAGATAAAACCAGACAATAGGCAACTTTGTGTCTTAATCATTAAATATCTGGGAAATTAATGAGATTTTCATCAGCTGCAGGTGTACAGTGTATTAAATGCTAAGCTAATAAGGTTCTATTAGAATGCGACTACTGTAAAAGAAGAGGGTATCTGTAGGAGGCGGGTGTGTTAGTGAAGCAGAGCGACAAGCTGACGTACTATAACACCTAGCTTGTCTTTAATATGATGTACTTGTGTAAGATTTGACATTCATCTTGATTCTCATTTTCCATGTTTACATGGATGTTACAGAAAATGTAGACTAAATCTGCCTCAAAGTCAAGGAAAAGTCAGAGAAATTTTCTGGCATAAAATGATCAATCACAGTTCCACATTAGTATGTGTCCTGTAATGTGTTATTATTAGCCCTCTCCTAAAGAAGTACATATCTGTTTAGTTGGGAAAACCTCTGTTTATTTTATAGGATTCTAGATGGCTTAGCTCCCCTCCTCTGTGCGGCTTTATAACCTTTAGAACTGCCACAAACAACCAGGACCACTTCAGGTGCAGCTAAGGGGGGGAGGGCACCATCCCACTCAGGAAAACCACATTTAGCCTGGGTGTCCTGTTTTACCTTCAGAGCATCACATCAGTAGATACCGCGGTCAATTAGAGAGTCACCGTCCTATTACTCATTTGAATATAATGTTAAGAAGTGGTTATGAACCAACAATGATGCTGTACTTAGCCACAGTTTACATTGGTAAGAGTCAGGGTTGCTTAGTAGAAAATATTGCTCTAGAAAATTGAGCCCTTTTTTTCTTGTTTTTTTCTGCTGTCCAATAGGAGGGCCGGGACCCGAGGAAACTCCACTGGCTGATGGAGCTACTGATGGAGAGCCCGCTCAGCGGAGAGGGCGGCTCGTTCAGAGATGCCAGGTATGTGTGTGTGCATCCATGTGCAATGAAAAACCACACACACACACACACAGTATATGTTTATGTCTCGCAGCATTTCTGAGGTTTCTGATGTCAGGCTGCAGTGGTAACCTGAGCTGACGTGCTGCAGTAACACAACGACCCCCTCTTCGCTGCCCCTCTCTCTCTCTCTCTCTCTCTCTCTCTCTCTCTCTTCTTCTCTGTCAGTTTGCTGTACGTGCTTCAGGGGGGTCTGGCCCAGCAGCAGTGGAGAGTTTCTGAGCTGCTGCACCGGCTGCTGGCATACCTGGAGCCCAAACTCACCCAGGTGTATAAGAATGTCAGGGAGCGCATTGGAAGGTACTAAATTAACTCTGTGTTATCTCTTATGGATTAAATAATCAAGGTTAAAAAGGTTAAACTAATTAACTTGTGTGCAATGTTTGGTCTTTTAAATTCTAAGCCTTTTTATCTCAACTTCTGTTTTTTTTTTTTTTCCCACTTTCCTCCTCTCTATGTTTTTCCCTCCTCCTCCTCTCTCTCTCCAGTGTCCTGACCTATATCTTTATGATAGACGTGGCTCTGCCCCACACGGCGCCCACGTCCTCCCCCCACGTGGCAGAGTTTGTCACCCGGGTCCTGGAGCGGCTCAAGCCCCTCACGTCGGAGCCGGAGATCCACAACCACGTCCACGAGGAGAACACCCAGGAGACGGACGAGCGCACCCAGGCTGTCAAACTGCTCAAGACGGGTCAGAATGTGAATGCAAGCATGTAAACTGACATGGTATAGGCCGGGGATAGACTGAAGGAGAGGAGGGGGAAAAAAAATACACCAGGGCAGCTCGTTCTCTTGATGAAAAAGACTGACACAGTGATGCCAGGTGAAAGCTGGACGCTGTGACCCCTCATTGATTTTACCTTTAACATCTACTTTAAAAGGTAGTGAGGTGTTCATGAAGAGGGCTTCAAGGTCTTTTTATAAGCCTTTCATAAAAAAAAGTTATGAAGAGACGTCTAAGGTTATATTCTGGAGGGTCTGGAAATGACACAGACTGAAGTATGGATATGTTTATATCAAGATCAGAGTAATCCAGAGCACATGAGGATTGTTCAATAGACTTCAAAGTTGAATTCATATAAAACATTGCGAACAACCAATTAGTATTCTGGCTTCCTCAGGTCTGCTCTCCATATGTTCATATCCTTCATATGATTTGCAGTAGTAAACGAGACCACCGGAGAGAAGACTGATCATTTCTATAGTTATTTTATAAACCTGATAGTCCTGTTGGGTAGGTTTCACATAAGCGATAAAGAGCATGCTGCAGAAACAGCCTTTTTTACATTTTTCCAAACCAAGTGCCATTGTGATATATATATATATATATATATATATATATATATACATACTGTATATTAAACATAAAATATAAACCAAGAGATTATTTGTTTCTAAAATCAACACAGCCAAAAAGTTCCTCAAAGGAGCTTTAACTAAATCGTTGTTTTCGGTGTATTTTTTAAATTCTTAATAGTCTACATTTTAATCACTTCTCTTTTCTGATGTGTAGTTATGCAGTTGTGGTTTTGTTGGAGAAGGTTTTCAAATATCAGAACCCTTAAAGTCAGCTTCAGTATTTCTTTCCATAAAGAGGCGAGATGATCGTCAAGAAAGTTGCAGCAAAAATCTTTAACTTTGTTATTTTTTCATTTGTGCTCAAAATAATGAAAGCCACCTGAATGGCTTAAAACCACGAGAAACCAAGTAAACAAAGCTACAATTTTAAAGAAAAAGGAAGAAAAGCAGAAGAAAATATTGCCATATTTTTATCTCTCACAATGCAAAAGGTTTTTCCACCTTACCAAAGGAAGATAAAAACAGGTTTTATGATTTTGCTCCTTGAGGTCAGGTGTGTGTTTCTGTGGTTACAATTCTTCACAGTTTCAGAGCAGATCATTAACTTTGAATTAATATTTCCGTCCTCTATTTGTATTTCCACCTGCTGAATATTATATGGTGTTACAACCCAAACACTGAAATGAGATCTGTTTTCTTGCCTCAGTATTTAGTGTGTTGTTGCTCTTTCAGTTTCGGTTACTACTCCAGTCTCCATTATTCAGATAAATAACTTGTTAGAAGATTATCCAAATCATTAGACACTAAATTATGATTGATTCTGTTTTATTAGCGGTGCAATGCAGTCAGGTCACAGCGCCGAGGCTGTTGTTTTTTGTTTTTTTTTGTTATTTGGCAGTGACCCAAAATGCCCTCCTTCTGTGTGTTTGTGTTTGCAATCTGCAGTGTTGAAATGGTTGATGGCGAGCGCGGGGCGAACTTTCACCACCCCTGTTCAGCAGCAACTACAGCTCCTGCCTTTACTCTTCAAGGTAACAACACACACAAACACGCACACGTACGCACACACACAGGTCCCAGCGCAGCATTATTACCCACTCAATCTTACTTGCCCATTAAACTCAATTTCTCTCTTCATTTACTCAAAATGGTGCGTAGCTGTGTGTCTACCTAACTCTCTCGCTCTCTCTCGTTTTCTCTCTCCCTGTAGATCGCCCCGGTGGAGATTGATGAGAGCTATGATGAGATGAAGCAGGATGCACGCACGTGTCTCTCTCTCATGTCCCAGGGCCTGCTGTATCCCGAACACATCCCTCTGGTGCTGGCCGCGCTGGAAGAGGTAATATGCACACACTTAAACACACGGACACATTGCCCCACCTGCCTGCTGTCACTGTGCTGAGCCTAATGCTGCCCACGGTGTTGTTAGACTAAAAACAACCTGTGCTATTTTTAATTTGCCTACTTTGTGATGCTCATAGAATCTCTGCTGCAGTTTTTTTTTTGTGTGTGTGTGAGAATGCCTTTAAAATACACATCCATCATTCATATTTGATTGTCGATGGGATAAGGAAGCATTGCAGCAACGGTGTTTGGTTTCCAGTGGACATGCTGCTCAGACTTCATCTTGTAGGAACAACATCTCATGTCGTGGTGAAGTTATTTAAATGCATCTTCGTTTGTGAGAAAGATTGATATGAGTGAGTGGCGCTGCCCCGCTTGGACAGGAGGTTTTGTGGTTTTCATTGGTATGTGCTGTTCATGGTTCATGTTCATGGTGTGGATGGTTGTTCGTTTCTATAACTTTTTATTTATTGGTTCTACAGTGGAGGCAGCTTAATGTGTGCAACCCACACACATGAAGCCTGTGTGGGGCAGTCCTCCACCGGAGTCTGTTACCTTTTTGGAGGTGCTTCTTTCTTTTTGAGTCCTTTAAGGAGCATTGAAGATGAATATACTGCCACCTATACATGTGATTTAAACAACCGTCTTAATCGTCCTAAAAGTAGATATGAGTAATAAAAAAAGAGATGGGAAATCATGCTATTTAGATGTGTGGCGTGTATGCACACGACTTTATGCCACCCCTGCATAACTCATTTCCCAAATTGAGCCACCCAAGGCAAATAAAAGAAAGAAATCAGGACAGGTTCCTGCCTGCCAAGCATTAAGTCTGTAAGCATGTTTATTTAGAGCAGTCATATATTAGCTTTAGCTCAAAGCACTGCTGCACCTAGATAAAGCCTCACAAACCTCACGCATGGTTGTTCATATTTCAGTTTTATGACAGGTAAAACAAAAAAAAACTAAAAGAGAAGAGCTTTTGCACATAAAGTATTAATCTCATGTACACAATATATTCACTTGTGTCCACATAATAATGTTTTGTTTGCACAAGACGCATAAAAACATCATCTTTTTGGATTTAACAGGCTTCCATACACACCACACGCTGTCTTTTATTGTATTTTTTAAAACTCTCTGTCTCTCTCTCCTCTCTCTCTAGATGGCAGGCAGCAGGTCATGGCACGCCCGTTTCTCAGTACTGACCTACCTCCAGATTATGGTTTTCTACAACTTGTTTATCCTGCTCAGTGTTCCTGCGGAGGTACTCTGCATCCGTGAGCTCGTAATGCAGCTGCTGCTTGATGAACAACTCGAGGTAATGTATGCACAAGAAGGCAGCACACACACACACACACACACACACACACACACACACACACACACACTGGCTTTAATACAGCTCCGGCCCCTCTGTAAGGTGTAACAGTCACAGGATTATAAATGGGCGCTTATTGTCCCCTAGTCTTTCCTCACTAAATCTTAATCCCTTCTTTCTGTTCAGGTTATAGCTTAAAAATAACACTCTACCTCACTGCTCAGCTCTTAATTTATTTTCCTATTCGGTGCCTTTCTCTTCCTTTGTGCTTACAGGGGTGTTGATGGAGCACTATGGCTGCCTTGCCATGCTTTGTAGCCGGTTGTAATTCAAGTGAAGTCAAAAATAATGTCATAAAGCCAGCTCATTCCCAAAATATCATCAGGAAATGCATATTTTTTTGACTGCTTATCTTGACTAAATGTTAAGTTTATGAATTATTCATGTCTGTTTATTAAGTGTGATGAAATCAACTGTGCTGCTTGTGCATAGAATACACAGAAACCTTGTTGAGTTATGGCATCGTATGATCAGTCCACATCTTTGTTTACTCTTATGGGCTTTTTAAAACCTCCTTTTTTTCATTGGGCTGGATGTGCAGGTGAAAAATCAATAAGCTCCAGACTTCACCTGGGGTTTCTTTCCCACTATAAATAGGCTTTTTGAGTATTTTGTCAACGGTGTTAGGTGTAGGACTGTGTGACTTTTGTCTTTGTCTCATTGTCTATTTCAATACATCAGTCGTCACTCAGCGCTTATTCATAATTTATGCAAAGTGATGCAGGAAGGCGGCGACGTTCTGCAAGTGAATGTTACCTCGGCTCAACTCAGCATCCCTCCTCCTCCTCCTCTTCCTCTTCTCATCTCTCCTGTGTGCCTCCGTCTTTCACACTGATCCTCTTGCCTCTTTTAATAAATTGCAAAAGCGTTTCTCGCCCTGAAACAGCCTCCTGCTCTCCACTGCATCCTTTATTTGTCTGTTCTGATTTTGAACCCACATCTAAAACATATTACCCACTCTCTCTGTCTCCCTCCCTTGTTTCCTACATTCCTCCCTCCCTCCTTCCTTACCTTCTCCTCCCTGTAGGTGAGGGACATGGCAGGCACCACCCTCAGTGGTTTACTGCAGTGCCAGTTCTTCCCCCTGGACTCCAGTCTGCAGACACAGCTCCAGACGCTGAGTCAGACTCCCCTCCCCAAGGCCAGAGGAGAGCTGTCCTCCACAGGTACACACACACACACACACACACACACACACACACACACACACAAAATGCACGTCAAAATAACACAATGAGGCAATCACAGTAATACTTGCCCTATTACCCTTTCTTATCCCACGGGAATTGCGAACCTTGAAATTCTAAGGCCCATTTTAACTCCCATTTGTGTGTGTGTGTGTGTGTGTGTGTGTGTGCAGACTTGGTGCGGCGCCATGCTGGAGTGCTCGGCCTCAGTGCATGCATTCTGTCGAGCCCCTATGATGTCCCGGACTGGATGCCTCAGATTCTGATGAACCTGAGCGACCACCTCAATGACCCACAGCCTATAGAGGTACACACACAAACACACACACACACACACACACACACACACACACACACACACACACACACACACACACACACACACACACACACACACACACACACACACACACACACACACACACACATATATATACACACAAACATCCAGCTCAACACTGTGTGAGCTGAAAGAACACAATTTCATTGTCCAATTGAGGAGAAAATTGTGTCTTTGGTCTCACTTCAGGCATGAAAAAGACATACAATGTAATCCGTAGTGCAGAGTTTGAATAATACATTACAGTGATGGGGAGCCGGTGATGATGATAATTTGACACTTCTCTTCTTGCAAAGTGAAAGAGATGAGAAAGAACACACAAAGGAACACATTAAAAAATATATATTTGCAAGTAGATGAATAACTCGGTTTTTACAAAAGCTGCTGGAAAGAATAGTTCTGTATGAAAGTGGAGGATTTTATTCAGGAAATAAAGGAGTATAATGTGTTTTAGTTTCCTCAGGCTTACTAATTTGTAGTCCATTAAGGTTTTCAGGCAGCAGGCATCTTCTCTCCCTCTCTGAAATCAAAAATTCTTGTCGGCGGCCGTCATGTATATTAAATGTACTTGATGATTAAATCATGTATACATCCTTGGTTACATTGATTATTGGTTGAATGTCTTGTGTCCTTGCTAAGCCAAGCTACCTTTCAAATCATACTTGCTTCATTCTAAATAATTTCAACATTGTTACGTGTGGCAATTTATCGTTAATAATGTATTATGACTTCATTAGTTTTTGATGAAACAACAAACTCCAGTGGTGGCAGGTCATATTAACGTGTCTGTCTCCAGGTCAGAAGTCATCATCACTGTCTTTGTTTTTTCTTTAGCTGTAATGTTCAGACTCGTTCCAGCTCCGCTCTTAAATCTGAGGGGGGGGGGGGGGGCTTTCATTGTTGTAGCTGTTTTTTTTAAAGGCCTTTATCAGCTCTTAACTTTTTACTTCTAAAAAGAAAACCAACACAAACACACAAATGAGGCAACATAAAAAGAACAATCAACATCCTCTTTATTGTGGGAGTTTACTGCAGACTCTAATGGAAATGTCCAAATTGTGAGACACAAACACAGCACTCTGAAATGTTTACTACAGTGATGGAGCATTATAGTTCTCTATGAGCAGAAGAGCACTATGCTACCCATAAGGGGGCTGATACGAAGTTTAAACATATATGATGTTTTATTCAATTTGAATCCATGTCAGATAAGCTTTCAATCAAGTTTTATAAAAGAAAGGAATTCGCATTTTTTTGGCATAACCCAAAGAAACTGTTAGTATGTTTTTTACTTTAACGACGCTGCAGAATGACCATGTGTCATATATTACACTAGAAATATATGGATAGGAAAGCTGAGAGAGACAGGAAGGGTTGGGAGGAGAGAGTGGGGAATGACATGCAGCAAAGGGCCGAGGTCAGATTCGAACCCACGGCCACTGCGATGAAGACTATATGGCCTCCGTACATAGAGTGCCCAGCGTAACCGCTAGGCTATCCAGCGCCCCAAAAATATAACATCTTTGTTCGAACTGTTAACTAGCTTGAGATAGACAGATTCTGAACATTTGTGCTTAGTGAATTTATTTGTCGACTCTTAAGGCGTCATCTATAATCGCTCAAGAGCTCAGTGTTGACGTAAGACTCAACAACATCCTGAAGTGTTCAGGTGTAGGGCTGCACAATAAAACGCAATGGCGTCGTTACCGCAGTATGAGCATTCACAATAAATACATCGCAGAGGTCTGAATTTGTCGCAACCAAAAAAAGCGTTTCTCTCTCGGAACACTTGCACACTTGACCTGTTTGATTGAGGCCAAGGTATAGTGACCATGCTTTAAAAACCTGTTGGTGCAGTTGGAAGAAGCCAAAGCTAACTGTTAGCTTCCTTAAGATTGATTGTGTCCAATTTGTTGGTTTAAAACAACAAACAGCTTTTTTGGCTTCAGGTGGGACATGTTACAAAGTAGTTACAAGTATTGTGTAACATTGTATATTAAAGAGCAATAGAAAGACGTAAAAACTGAGTTACAGCCATCATACACTCTTTAATCTTTGTTTATTTTTATATTGAAGTAATTATATATCATACAGGCCTGATATGTACATTCAAACACATCTCATGTGGGGCACCGGTGGCCTTGTGGTTAGTGTGCGTGCCCCATGTACATGTGCCTATGTTATGTCTGCACAGATTTGTGTTCACCATGTCACTCATTCGCTATTTTGATGTTTTTGCTAATAATGAGTTTGTTTGGTTTTTTTCGTCCAAAGCTGACGGTGAAGAAGACCCTCTCTGAGTTCAGGCGTACCCACCACGATAACTGGCAGGAGCACCGTCAGTCGTTCACCGATGACCAGCTGCTGGTGCTCACAGACCTGCTGGTGTCGCCCTGTTACTACGCCTAGACAGCCAGCTGCCTTCCCACGTCCTCTAACACAGACTGACCGACCTGCCCATCCAAAAATATGATTTCACTTTTGAACACTCTTCAGTGCCGCCTGTTAAAATAACCTCTGATGTTGCTGCAGTGGCGGAGAGCCCTGCGTCTGGAACCTCACCGCCGATGTTGGCCTTCAGTAAACCAAGCACACATTTAAAAAAAAAAAAAACAAGCAGTCCTGGGCAAAAGTGATTTCCAATATTTAACCTAGTGGATTTATTTTGTCCTGACAAACAGTTCAGCAGCCCCAAAGGTGGCCATCTTACTTTACACTACCCACCCTATAGATGTATTACTTTCTGTTTCTTGTAAAAATATATATTCATGAGTCAGAAATATATTTTCAAATCTCTATTTTATTTATGTACTTGACTGTACCTACTTTTAAAAGTTATTTAAATAATACTTAAAAGTTGGAACTCAATTTGTATTCTGTAAATATAAGAGAACATATAGTGTATGACATTAAACTACAATTTTATATTAGTAGAAAACTACAAACGCTGAATGCAAAACTACATGTATAACATAGAACTTAACATGCAATGTGCGAATAAGATAAGAAACTTAATTCATCTCTTGTTGGGTATAATTCACTTGTAACAGCAGATCAAGAGTCAAGAGTAAAAATATATAATCATATATTGTACTTGTATAAAATGTGATATTACCTGCTTTAAAGCATACAACTATAAATGATATAACGATGCTGTAATGCCACTTGTATCATATTCCTATACAACACATTCTGTTGTAGCTCCTCTCTGATCATTAACTGTTGTATTGCTGTGAATACTGTAAATTAACTTCATCCTTTATGAAGAGAGGAGTGTATTTTATTTCTTGTGGAGATGTTTGTCAGAGATACTGATCATTAAAAAAAAAAACAACTGCGGTTATCTGCATACATATAACACACAGCAGGTTATAGTTCTGCACAGATAGAAATACAAGGTGTTTCTTTCTGTGTGGACAGCATTTCATTTTGAACCAAACATGTTGTACACATGTTGCTACAGACCACAGTCAATAAACACTTGTAACTGGTTGCATCTGTGTGTGAGTTTGTGAGTATTTAGGAGGAACAACATCAAAGATAGAGCTGTCACTATTTTCAGTCTGCATGCTGATTTTTCTGATGCAGTGATGTTGACTTTGATGTGTTTACTGTGCTGAGAGGTACGCTGACAGAATGAGAAGCATATCTGGTGAGTACTGTGTGGAATAAGCAGGGCGTACTCGTACGGCTGTCAACTGTGATAGTGTTGTAACGAGAGCTGCAATTTCATCTTTTATTTTATGATTAAATATGCAAAAGAAAAACATCCGTCCAGCCTGATTGTAAGCAAAATGGCTCACCTCAAATAAAACTGGTTTAATAATTTTGAGGCTTTTTTAGGGATGTGACTCTTTGAGGATTCCTGTCTGGACCTTGCTTTTTATTTCCCAATAAAACAATGGCAATATATGACCTAACCTTGCAGAAATCTCTCTAAAGTATTGGAAAGTCATGGGTTTTATATATGAATTATTGTATCAGTGGTGTGAATTGGTGCTGGAGCATGATTTAATCAGGTTACTTCTCAAAAGACACAGAAGAAAGCAGAATAGTGAGTCATGCCTGTACTGTATGTAGCAGTGATAACATTACGTTAAGGAAGATTGACCTACAGGAGAGTAAAGGTTTAAAAGCAATACTAGATACCCGAAAGCCTTACTGCATTATTTTCCTGCACCAAATCTTAAATAATAACCAGCATTTACAAACCTGCTGATGCTGTGGAGGCAGCATGGGCTGTAACCAAAGCTTTTTTGCCCTTCGTCCAATCATATGACTGATATTTGTTTTTGGGGGGGAAATAAAAAAAGATGGCTGCCGCTCTCATGAAAGGTTTTGAATCTGCCAAATGTCAGTACTGAAGAGCTGGTCATGATGTAATGTAAGTGGTTTCCAAATCATGTCACTGTAAAAGCACGTCAGTAAAATGTTGATCCAGAAGCCATGCTACCTAGCCTAGCAGCCTCACATATTTCTCTCTGATGATTATTTTCAACAGAGCTTCAGTATTTAACCCCATTATGACCAGAGATGTAAAGCACTTATTAAAACCAGGGTCCTCTGTCAGACATTACACTTTGGATTCATGCCTGTGTGGATCAAAAGAGTATCAGATATGTTTTTTTCTGGGAATGCTAGTTGGCTTGTAGCCTAATCTGACACGCTAGATGATGTACGGAAAAGAGTGACTTTGCTAAAATGGTAGTCGTGTGTTAGAAAAACGTTTTGCTAGATTATATTCAAAGTTGTGGCATTACAGAATGAGACGTAGACAAGACTTGTAATCCACAGCCATGCTAGCGCCTGAGGAGATTACACTGAGTCTCAGCTATGTGCTACATGCTAAAACTAACACATCGTCATCACAACATTCACCGTCTTCAGTTAGCATTTTAGCTGCATAACACTTGCAGGCAGATTATTGCTGAGGTTGACTGGGATGACATTAGTTTTTACTTTTATTTGGTCATAGTCAGAAAGTAATCAAAATGTTGACCTGTTCAAAATCATTGTTTATAGAGATAGGGAAAATAAATGTTTGGAACAAATCTGTCCAGCGTTTGTACAGAGTAGGTTTTTCCACTGCATATTTAAAAGCAGTATCATCGGTCTACGTAGTGAGTTTCATCTTAAGCAGACCACGGCTAAACAAAAACAAAATGATTACCAACCTACCACGTAGCTATTTAAAATACAAGGCTGTGCTGGACTGACAGCTAGCTACCAATAATTGACTATTTGCGTTTAGAAAAAGCTACCCTAACATCATTATTGAAGTCCGCTGAAAAGAATTCTTCATAACCTTGACAATATTTTTTTTTAATCTATCAACACATGCAAACTCACTCACTCAAGACAACACAGACAATTTTGTTGAAGCAGTTTAGTCAAAAGCTCTTGAATTTTTTATTTCCATAAACAAAGCTTACATTTAATGACAGCTGTGAGAGAGGTCTTATAATGTAAGATGTTAAATGTGACCACATATATCAGTGAATGCAGAAATGCAACCAGAACATTTGGCGTTTATTCGTCATAACATTACCTTTGTGCTGTTGAATGATGGACAAGAAAAACACGTTAATCCTTATCATATAGTGATCACTCAACATGTAGGTTGTATGCCACTGACAGTACCTTCAAGTGTTTGTCATATTTTCATATTCTAAAGCAGCTTTTGGTACAGATTAAGTGCAGTGTATTGTATTGTAGCGATAAGTGATAAACTCATGGCCCCATCTGTACCTTGTAACCTGAGATTTGACTTATCCAGACTCATTTTTTTTTTTCATTCATCAAGTTTTTTTTCTTAATTCATTACAATCAGCCAGTTTGTGTGTGCAAATGTTTCTGTCCGTTGCGTATTCTTTCTCTCACGAGAGTTTCTAGAGAAACAGGTGTGTATCTGAGTCCTCGGGCAGAATTGTCCGTAAAGCATCAGCAAGCTGAAACAAATACTCAGTGTTTTTCCCGCTTGGACCGGTAGAGCTGACAATCTGGTTGGCTATCTCCTCCAGAGGGGCAGGGCCCAGGTAGTCCGGATTGTCTTGAGAACCGATGTAGAGCAGCGTCTGGCTGGGCGGAGGGGTGTGTGGTGGACGGGGGTGAAATGTTACAGTGATGACCTGATAACCACCTTTTTCTCTATAGTCGAGGTAGCGCTTCACTTCCTGCTCTCGACCCGTCGGCAGCTTGTAGGCAACGCCCCAAACGCAGCCCTTTATAAAAGAGAGTCAGAAGAAGAACCGGTTAGTGGGGTGAATAAAGAGTGGCAAACTGTATGGAGAAAGGCATGTTAAGATTATTCCTTGAATGATTTGTAACTGCGGCCAGTGACTAAATCTGTTGGTAAGTGTGACCGAAACAGTTAGTCATTCAGTCTGTTCGTCACTCACAGAGAATAACAAACAACAAACAAAGCAAAACTGATCATAGGTCAAGTTTTTCTTTTCTCATATTCAATTTATGATGATTCTAATGAAATCATAAATTCATTTTAGGAGCAGTAACCAGTAAATATTTGTGATTATTGCTTCATAGATGACTTAAAGGTCCCATATTATGCTTTTTCTGGTTTTATATGCCCTTTAGTGTGTTTTCCAAGTGTCCTGTGCATGTTTAGGCACATCTATGTGCAAAAATTCAAAGTCCGCGGAAACGCGGCTTCTCCTACCTCCTCCTGTTAGCTGTAGCATTAGCCGCATGTAGCGCTCGGTTCTAGCCCCCCTCGATAAAAATGTCACTGACGTCATTTTCAGTGTGAGATCACTGATCTAGGTCCAGTGGCTCGTTGTGGCAAGCCCTGCAGCTCATGTTGAAATTTCCGAGAAGCGTGCTGAGCAACTGACCAATAACGACAGAGCGGATTGGCAGACCAATCAGAGCAGACTTGGCCCACGTGGGGTCTAACAGTGGGGGCTCAACAGAGTGTAGCTGACGGACTCAGAGCGTAGAGGGAGCAAGGAGGAGCAATACATGAAAACAGACACTTTTTTCTGACTTTAGCTATTGTGAACGTACAAAAGTAGGTACATAGATTAAATATATGAATCCCAAAAAGGGCATAATATGGGCTCTTTAAATAACTTTTTAACTGTAACCATAGTTACTGAACAATTTATGTGCAATGTTTGCGGCAAAGAAGACAGTCTGGATCAACGGATGAAAATGGTT